CACTGCAGAAGTTTCCAAATTTGTTGGTATATTGAGTACAGCACTTTCACACCATCATCTTTTAGGAGTTGAAATAGCTCAGCTGGAATTCTATCACCTCCACTATCTTTGTTTATAGTGATGCTTCCTCAGGCCCACTTGGCTTCGGACTCCAGGATGTCTGGCTCGAGGTGAGTGATCACTCCATCTTGGTTATCTGGGTCATTAAGATTGTGTTTTTATTGTTCTGTGTATTCTTGCCACCTCTTCTTAACATCTTCTGGTTTTGTTAAATCCATACTGTTTCTGTCCTTTATTGTGCCCATCTTTGCATGAAAACTTCCCTTGGTATCTCTAACTTTCTTGACGAGATCTCTAGCCTTTCCCATTCTACTGTTTTCCTCTATTTCTTTGCATTGACCATTGAGGAAGGCTTTCTTATCTCTCCTTGCTATTCTTTGGAACTCTGCATTCAAATGGGTGTGTCTTTCCTTTTATCCTTTGCCCTTAGCTTCTCTTCTTTTCTAAGCTATTTGTAAGGCCTCCTCAGACAACCAGTTTTCCCTTTGCATTTCTTTTTCTTGGGGGTTGTCTTGATCACTGCCTCCAGTACAGTGTCATGAACTGTCGGTCATTTAATGGACCGGAACCTGGTGGTCTGGAGTCGATGATGAGAAAGTGAAAGAAGGAAAGAGGCTAATATTCCCTGGGTTATGCAGCCAGCTTTCGCGCTCCAGGGGATCAACCAGAAATAGAGAGATAAATAGAGGAAGAGAGAAAGAAAGAAAGAAAAGAAGAAAGAAAGAAAGACACGGGGACCAAAGCTCTGATGGAGCAAAGGTGTTTTAATCAACAGGGCATGGGCATATATACTGTCTTACAAGGTAGTTATTTTCAGCAAAGATAAAGACTAAAATTCAAGAAAGAAAGAAAGGAAGGAAGAAAGGAAGGAAGGAAAGAAGGAAGAAAGAAAGAAAGACAGACACGGGGACCAAAGCTCTGATGGAGCAAAGGTGTTTTAATCAACAGGGCATGGGCATATATACTGTCTTACAAGGTAGTTATTCTCAGCAAAGATAAAGACTAAAATTCCAGACTTACAAAACACAAGGCGATCCCTATTAAAGAGAGAAGAGGGTACTTATCACCATAATGAGAAACTAACAAAGGAAATGCCTGGATTCCTCAACCCCAGGAAAGGCAAAGGCATGCCTCTCCTCTTAATTCCTGAATGTTCAGGAATTAATAAGGGCCAAAGGTTTCCTGACAGATCCAAAACACCACACAGGAGGCCTCCTGTTAAATGCATCTTGGCAACAAACCTCCATCCATAGTTCTCAGGCACTGTGTCTATCAGATCTAATCCCTTGGATCTACTTCTCACTTCCACTGTATAATTGTAAGGGTTATGATTTAGGTCATACCTGAATGGTCTAGTGCTTTTCCCTACTTTCTTCAATTTAAGTCTGAATTTGGCAATAAGGAGTTCATGATCCGAGCCATAGTCAGCTCCTGGTCTTGTTTTTGCTGACTGTATAGAGCTTCTTCCATCTTTGGCTGCAAAGAATATAATCAATCTGATTTCAGTATTCACCATCTGGTGATGTCCATGTGTAGAGTTGTCTCTTGTATTGTTGGAAGAGGGGTTTTGTTATGCCCATTTCCTTCTCTTGGCAAAACTCTGTTAGCCTTTACCTTGCTTCATTTTGTACTCCAAAGCCAAACTTGCCTGTTACTCCAGGTATCTCTTGACTTCCTACTTTTGCATTCCAGTCCCCATGATGAAAAGGACATCATTTTTTGTTGTTAAGTCTAGAACTTCTAGAAATTTTAGTACAATATTTTAACATTTCAGCATAGCATAATTCAAATATGACTAACAAAATGCTTTTAATATGTCATTTAAAATTATTTAAGAAACCAAAAAAATCAATATTACTCTAACTATAGAACCAAATTCCTAGCACAATATCAGGATATTAAAATTTAAAGCAAAATAGACATCTATTCACACAACTACAAAGAAATAATATTAAATAGGTTTTTAAAATTAAAAGAAATTTTTAATATATGTTGGAGTACAATTGAGTAACAACGATACGTTAGTTTCAGGTGTATGACAACGTGATTTAGCTACATGTACATAATTTAAAAAAAATTCTTTCCCCAATTAGGTTGTGATAGAGTACTGAACAGAGTTCCTTGTGCTTTATGGTAGGTCCTTGTTGGTTATTCACTTTAAATACAGCATTGTGTATATGTACCCATTTCCCTAATATTTTGACAGTGGTCATGATAGCTATCTTAATGATGGTAAAGGACTATCTGCTTATTCTCTCTCTTTCTGTTTACTTTTTAAATTTATTTTTTCTTTTAATATTTTGCAGTTTTATTACCATGTATGTAAATGTGGAATAAATTTCTCCTATATTTCTCAGGATAAGTCTCATTCTTTAACCTGAGGATTTATCTTTCACCATTTTTTAAAATTTAACCATTGTATATTTAGATATTACTTCTGTCTCGCTCATATTTTTTTCCTCTGAAGTATCTATTTTATGAGTTTTGGAAATTTTAATACTTCTTGCCTCTAAATCTCATCTCTATGTTTCCCCACTATTCACCACTCTGTTCTATATACTATTTAATTTTCTTTGGTTTATCCACCAAATCACTAACTCATTTATTCAATGATGTTTAATCCTTAGTTTATCTTTTCTGTTAGTTTTTTTTTTTAGAACTTTTGCTTATAAATTTGTCTCTACTTTTCTAAATTTTACTTGTTCTTTCTAATACAGTTTCAAAACCTGTTTCTCTGCTCGTGTCTTGTAATATATAAAAAAACCTTTTTTTTCTTTTGATAGTTCAGTTGGTTCCTTTATTGACTGAATTCATCTGTTAGTTAACCATTACAAACTAAGGGTGAAACATTGTTCTAGTGATTAAGGAAAAATCATTCAGCAAATCAGACATAATTATAACTATCATAGATCTCACATTTTAGTCAAGAAGTAAACAGTGGAGGCTGAGAGAGAAGGTAACCGGGCAGCCATTGAGCTTTTTTTCTCCTAGTGGAAACGTGTGCCGCGCGCTTCGCCGTCCAACCCGCCCTCGCCATGTCCATCTTCAGCGTCCGGGTGGTTCTGCGCAAGCCTCCCTGGTCAGTCCGTTTTCCTCACCCCTGGGCTGAACGTGTGACATCCAGTGTTTTTCCGTCACGAGTCCGTCTCGTTGGAACATGTGCTCTTCTGATCAACTTCTGAAAGCTTACATTGTCTGAGGACGAAGCTGGGAAGAGGAGGAAAAAAGGAAAGAAAACAGGAACGGCTCTTTCTCAGCCATTGCAGGACTTTGTCATCTCTGAAGCCACCAGTCAAGGGTGCAACTCATTTAGGGATGGTTAACCTTCAAGGATGTGGTGATTAAATTCTCTCAGGAGAAGTGGGAATGCCTGGACCCTGTTCAGAGGGCCTTGTACAGGGACATGATGCTGGAGACCTAGAAGAACCTGCTCTCTGTGGCTTGGGCTTGGAGCTCTCTGACCCCGCACGACTGCGTTGGATGCGGCAGGAGCCCTAACTCGAGTCAGCAATAAACTTCCCTTTTTGCGAGTTGCATTGTCTTGGAGGCCTTCTCTCTTCCTGCTCGGGGATTCGGACATCGGGCATAACAGAAACCTCTTGTAATGGTACATAGAGATGATAGTTTACAGTGAATGATGTCAGATTCGTGATCTCAGAAGAAGATATAGCTTTGGGACCAGGGACTAGGCTTGATTACTCAAGAGCTTTTGTGTAGCAGAGTTTTATTAAAGTATGAAAGGGGACAGAGAAAGCTTCTGACATACACATCAGAAGGGGGATGGAGAATGCCCCCTCTCACTAGTCTTAGCAAGGGAGCTATATACTTTTCAATTAGTTATTACAGTAAGTAGAAAGACTGTCTCAAGGTTGTAAAGGTCTTACCAGACCCACTCCCACAATTTACATTTTAAGATGACAGGATTAGTCAGAAGGTTCCCAAGAAGGAGAAACATGTCCTTAAGCAGGACACATTGTTGTTATATAATCTTAGTACAGGGTTTAGGCTGAGTTGTTTTGTTGTGTAATCATCAGCTCTGGGCTTAAAGAAGAAAACCTTTGTCCTTTTCTCCTCCTTGAGAATTCCAAACCCCTATGTCCTCCTCGAGAGCCCCAGACCCCTTTCTCTCCTCCGGTACCCCAGACTTATCAACCTACCTAGGCATTGACTCTCTCAGATCTTTGGCAAAAGAGAAGTTTCTTTATTAAACTCTCAGAGGAAACTTAACTTTTCCCCGAGTTATCAGTCTGTCCTTCAACATGTATCATGTATTCTTTCACCCTCCAGTGGTGCTGCAGCTCCATCAGACACAAAGGCAAGGTTTTTATCAAGATCCATAGCCCTCGCCATCTCCCTGCTGTGAGCTGGTTGTGGCTTGAGTTTGAGGAGCATGAGGTGGGCTGCCTTACTGGGTTGTCTTGCCCCGTCTTCTCTCTTTGTGGCCTTGGATCTATTGGCTACTCAGTTCTTAGTCCATGTAGATCAGAGCTGATGCCCCAAGCGTCTAACCCCTGATCCTGTGCTGCTTTCATCACAGTTGTCATATTTGGAAGATATAATCGGAAGATGGGAAAATACTGGCTGCTGTTTAATTTTATCTGGCCCCTCAGAACCTGTATGGAACTGCCTCAGTCCCTGTCTTCTTCTTGAGATCCCTCAGCCATTTCTGCTGTTCTCCTTTTGCTGCCATACCATGTCAGGGTGTGTGGAGTAGCCTGGTGGATTGGACCTACTGTGACTGTCACTTAGGAAAACTCTGAGGACAGCAGTCCAACAAAGGGAAAATGTGTGAATCTTTCAGGCTTTTAGCTTGGCATCTCTGGGTGGACCAAATAGTCCCATCTTAAGGTCTTATGAGACCCCCACATCTTGTGGTTTTCCGCTCTTGTACTGGTCTATCTAGTCTGGGAGTGTAGACTCTTCCTGACTTTGCTTTCTCTTTAGTTTGTATAATTTTTCCTTTTAAATTTGATTTTGAAGTGTGTGGTTCTAGTGTCTGAAGTCATGTCCAGCTTCTTTGCTGTGGTAATCCGCCTGTGTTTAAGGGGCAGCTCCTCATGGACTCTCTGTGGTGTGGATTTACTGGGTAAGAGAAAATTTTTAAAGGAGAATACTTTCCCGTATTGGTTGTAATATTTTCCTGCTGCATACAGAGTTACCACTTGAAGCTTCTTAGTATAGTGGTCAGCGTGTTCTGTGATATGAGACAGTATCTGAAGACCTTGACCTGTACATCTTTTTCTGGCTTTGAGTGATGTCAGAAAAGCCTGTGTGAAGGGCACTGTGATAGTGTTGTTCACTATCACCATGTGTATTATCACCATGCCCTTTGAGCCTCACCAAGAGGTGTAGGAACTTCTCCTAAGAAACGGTATTGTCCAGGTTCACACCCTCATGTTTGTGAGGCTGTTGACTAAACTATTGCTGATGCTGCATGCTTGTCACCTGTGTGCTATTGATCATTCTGCCTCCACACTTAATTTTGTAGCAACTTAATGACAGAGCTTATGTAGTGGATTGATAACTTCAGTGATGAACCATCACTTTTTTTCAAGGCATTGCTACTTTCCTTTCTGTATATTTTTATACATTATAAGTGATTGTCTTTTATTTTGATCATTAAGTTTCTATTTTATGTTACTCTTTGTATTTTATTTGCAATAGATGGGATGGTTGGTTGAGAAAGCTACCCCACCCCTATGGTAGAATTGGTGATCAGTACTTTTTAGAGTTATTTATGTATTCTTGATGTTAAACTATTATTGAATATATGATTGGCAAATTTTTTGTATTACAGTGTACATTGTTTTTTCACTGCTGAGTATGGTTTACTGCACAATGATAATTAGGATGTGTGCAGTTTACCTCTTTTTATTTTGTTGGCGTGAGCTTTTGGTGTTGTATCTGTTAAATCATTGGTGAATCCACTGTCGAGAATCATTTTCTGTTCATTTACTTATAGGAGCCTTATACACTAGGGACTGAGTTTTAGGGCTTTGAAGCATTTTGAGTTAATTTTTGTCTATAGTGTATAATAATGCTCCAGCTAAATTCTATGTGAATATCCAGTTTTCACAACACATTTTGTTCCATAGATTGCCCTTCCCCCATTACTTGGTCTTGATACTATTGTGGAACATCATGTGACCTTACAGGCAGAAGTATTTTTCTGAATCTGTTGTGTTCCCCAGGTGTCTGTCTTTATATCAGTACCATGCTGCTTTGATTACTGTAGTTTTGGAATCAGTTTTGAAATGAAAAAATGTAAGATGTTTTGACTTTGCTCTCCAGTTTGTTTTTGCTATTCATTGTCTTCTGTGATTCCATAGGAATTGTATGATTGATTCATCTGTTTCTTAAGCTAAGCAGTGTTCAGATTTCACTAGGGATTGTTTTGAATCTTTTGTTAACTTTGACTAGTATTGACATCTTGACAATATCAACTTTATATTCGTGAAGCATGAGGTATTGACATTTATTTGATTATTTTTCAGAAGTCTTTAGTTTGCAGGATAAAAATTCTTCCCTTCTTGTATAATGTTGTGATTAAGTATTCTTATTTAATTTTCTTGTCAATTAAATTACTTTGATCATTTTTAATGTTTAGAAACCCATTGGGTTTGCATGCTGATGTTGTATCTTGTAACTTTTTTGAAGTCTGTAATTATTTCTATACTTTTTTTTAACATGTTAATGTTGCAAAATGCCTATTATGGGTATGTCATTTTGTAGGACATATTTAGAAAGATACTTTGTTTCATAAAAACTGTATTATTGAATTTTTTTTTCTCTATGGTATATATATTAACAATTCTAAACAGCAGCATATTATTAGAGAAACTCATTTTGGATTTTTTAGCATTACAATATATTGTGTGTTCATTAGCATTTATTTGTGTACAGTAAGTATGCAGAATATATCTATAGTAGAATACATTTTTCTACTCAATTATGAGACTGCAGTATGTTTACTGTTAATTGTACATGCTTTGAAGTCATGGTGGAAAAATTGCAGTTTTTTTTTTTGTGAGCTGACATGTTTTTCTAGTATAAGTGTTTTTGTCATAGGCTGTTTGCAAGTATTCTTCCCTAAAATCAAATTGAACTATCTTTTACAACTCTTAAAAAAAAAAAAAAAAAAAAAAGAAGTAAACAGTGAAACTCTCACTAATTTCATGTATCTCACTAATCACATTTATCATTAAGAATTGCCAGGAAACTGTGGAATTATTGAAAATTATTGAAATTATTGTCCAGTTGCTAAGTCATGTCTGACTCTTTGTGACCCCATGGACTGGAGCAAGCTAAGCTTCCCTGTCCTTCACTATCTCCTGGATCTGGCTCAAACCAGTGTCCATTGAGTTGATGATGCCATCCAAACATCTCATCCTCTGTCACCCCCTTCTCCTGCCCTCAATCTTTCCAAGCATCAGGGTTTTTTACCAGTGAGTCAGCTCTTCCCATCAGGTGCATCAATTCCTTTTTTTTTTTTAATTGTGCAGGTTAGGCTGGTTCCTGGGGGCAGAGTTGGCCATCTTGCTTTCCCACTTATTTAGTTCATTTGGATCACCCCTTCCATCAAGAGTTAAAGCCAAGAATTCCAGTTTTTCTCCAGTTTCCCCTTTATCAGAAGTGAAGAGATGGTGCTCTGAACACTACATACTCCAGGAAGAATTTTCCATCTCCCACTCAGTACTCACAGTCTCACAATCTCTTTGAGATCCACAGAAATAGTATCACTCTTCTCTATAGCCTCACTTGTATCCATCACCACAAGAAATATAGGACTCTAAAGTCATTTCCTGGATTCAAATCTCTAGTTTGCTTAAGCCATTCGCCTGAAACTAATCTTGTCTTACATCTCTTTCAAGAATTTAAATCTTTTCACTTTGATCTCTGGAAATCATGATTTGTCATTTCCCAAATGTCCTACATCATCAAACTCTTCTTTGAAGGATCTCTTTACGCTCTTGCTCCAATTGTGAACTGGTTCTTCATGCTTTCTCACATATTCATTGTAGTATTGGGCCAGAGTGGGGGAAATTGTACTCATTGATCCTCAAGCTTGTTTACATATCATTCATGCTTTCTCCTCCTTAAAACTTTCTCCTCCTTTTCGAACTTTGAATTGTACATTAAATTATATCACCAAGTTAAGTTTACCAGATGAAGACTAAATACAAGATAAATACAAGATACCCTGTTAAATTTGAGTGTCATAAAAATGAATGTTTTTAATATAATTTTACTCCCCAAATATGTGCTGTTTATTTGAAATTAAAAATTAAACTGGGCGTCCTATATTTTTTCTCTAAATCATACACCCAATGCTTTCATTTTTGCTGTTAATTTCTGCTATCATTTCACTTTCCTCACTGAATTTAACTTCTGTGATTCTGTTATTTTCTCCATCATTTTTTCAGTTCTTGATGATTTCATTATTTCCATATATAATTCTTCTAATATTCTTTACTGTCATATTTTTATTCCTGCTTCTGTATTAATTTTGTAATTCATGCTGCTCCTGCTGCTGCTAAGGCACTTCAGTCGTGCCCGACTCTGTGTGACCCCATAGACGGCAGCCCACCAGGCTTCCCCATCTCTGGGATTCTCCAAGCAAAAACACTGGAGTGGGTTGCCATTTCCTTCTCCAATGAATGAAAGTGAAAAGTGAAAGTGAAGTTGCTCAGTCGTGTCCAACTCTTAGCGACCCCATGGACCACAGCCTACCAGGCCCCTCCGTCCATGGGGTTTTCCAGGCAAGAGTACTGGAGTGGGGTGCCATTGCCTTCTCTGGTAATTCATGCAACCCCATCTAAAGATCTACATCTTTCATACATCAAATTTCAACATTAGTAGTAATTACAAAAATTTCATAATCTCAGTTTCAATCATCCTTTTCTAAAATTACTTCCTAAGTTTCTACCTCACTATCTTATTTTACTAACTCCTGAAATCATTCCCTGTCACCAGGACTTAAATCTTTTTAAATTTTCCTCATCACCCTCATGAACTCACTTTGCCTACCCAGCTTTAAATTATGGAATATCATGATATGATAACCACTTTTCACTCCCTTATACATACCTTCATCTATCTTGTCTGTTCTTGCTTTTTAGTTATGCTTGCTTAGAAAAACCCTAGTTTTGACTGTTTACTGTCTATATAGTCCATATATATGCTGCATAGCTGAGTATGGCTGGAAAAAACAAAGAAAAAACAAAATAGAACAAAAATCAATCAAACAAAATTTCCCCAAACACACGGCTACTTCACAGTCCCACTATAAATCATGATTAGTAACTTCAAGTGGGTCCAGAGAGATTTCCAACATTTCCCCCTCATCTATTTACTCTTCTAGACAAATATTTTATATATTCTCTTTTCTTTTCAAACTTTCAACAGCCCCTAGTCCTCACCAGTCTATTCTCAGTTTAGCTAGTGATGTTGCATTGTGTTTCACCATATAAATGCAATTAATCAGACTTTCCCCCACATGCTTTCCCATTATATGTGCAAACTTATCTATGTTTGAGTCCATATGTTTTGGCCTTCTTGCCTCCTGTGTATGTGTCTAAGTTGCTCAGTTGTGTTTGACTCTTTGTGATCCCATGGACTGTAGCCCACCAGGATCCTCTTTCCATGGAATTTTCCAGACAAGAATACTGGAGTGGGTAGCCATGCCCTTCTCCAGGGATCTTCCTGACTCAGGGATTGAACCTGGGACTCCTACAAAGCAGGGTGATTGGGAAGCTCCTCTTTCCTTCTAAGGTGGTTCAATTGCACATGCTCCTTGCTAAGACCAATATTTCTACTTGTTCAATAGAGCTCATTTCCTCTTACCTACTTAGGAATATGACCCTAGCAATTATCCTCTTTCTATGGATTAATGCATTTTTCTTTATGAAATAATTTTTATCAATGGCTAAGTATTTTTAAAATTTATCTTGTTATAAGAGAGGATCTCAGATCCACATTTCTCTTCAAATATTGTCCTATTTCTTTCTTTTTGATAAAAGCTTTTGAAAAATTTGTCTACATTTAATTTCTTAATTTGCTTCTATTTTCTTTCTTTTTTAACATTTTATTTATTTATCCATTTATTTTTAGCTTCCCTGGATCTTTGTTGCTGCCACACAGGCTTCCTCTAGTTGCAGAGAGTGGGGACGACTCCCTAGTTGTGATGTGTGGGCTTCTCATTGTGGTAGCTTCTCTTGTTGCAGAACATGGGCTTCAGAGCACCGGGGTTTCATTAGTTACCACAAATGGACTCTAGAGCACAGGCTCAGTAGTTGTGGCACACAGGTTTAGTTGACCCATAGCA